AACATATCTGAAAAATTGGTTTCCTGCAAAAGAAAGATTGAGGGAATTCCCCTGGCTGCCAAGGCTCTGCCAAGTCCTTTGCTTCCTACAGTCTCTCTAGTGGGTATCAACGGCAGAAATGCTTTTTTCAGCTCTTGTTCAGGCTGTAGGAATTGATTTCTCTGAGTTTTCCAGGTGCCTTGCTTGCAGGACCCTCTGGGACACCCACCCACGGGGAAACTGAGGCAGAGAGGAGCCCAAATCAGAGGAAAATGCTGGACTCTGAAGGAAGAGCTGACATTTTTGTAGCAGCTGGGCTGGTTTAATGCCTGGGGGTCTGGGGTGGGAGCACAAAGAGCAGGTTTATTGCCCAGAAATGCCTTTGCTTGTGTGATGCAAAATAAATCTGTTTTCAGGAGCATTAAAAAGCAATGATCTTGGCTCTGTGGCAAGAAAGGGACAGAGTTTCCTGTGGACTTTAGTGGGGAGCTGGGACTGTGCAATCTGAAGCAAACTGGGAGAGGGGGCAAAAAACCCAACATGGTGCCAGACTTCATGTGTTGTGGGGCTGGAGAGAGTGAAAGCCAGTGATGGCTCCTTGCTCGGTCCCTGTGGGCAATTAATGTCTGGGGAGAGCCGATTTAATGACATGGGATGGTGGTAAACTCAGATTCCATGAAATAAAACGGCTTTTTATGGTGCAGGGACTCGGTGCTGGGTGAAGTCAGAAGAAAGGCTGAAGTGGGTTATAAACGGCACGGGTTAATCTTAAACCAACATCAACAGGAAACCAGCAGCTTGGGTGGGAAATTCCAAAGCTCACAAACAATATGTTTTTGGCCCATGTCAGAATAAAAAGCTGGTCTCTTAGGAAGATTTGTGGGGAAGTTCTGACCTGGAAACACTTTTTTTTGTGTTAAAGGCCAGCATTAAGTAAACAAATGACACCAGAGCCGGAGGCTTTACAAGTGTAAGAAATCTTTGAGCCTGTTGGATTCAGCTGATGTCCATGGTGTTCCTTGGAATACTTTAATTTTTATTTTTTTTGGTTGAGCTGTGTCTTAATACTCTTGGTGCTCCCTGGCAAATACTTGGGGACCTTGATAGCAGCTTCTGGGGCTGGGGGAGAGTGTCAAGAAGTGGGTTGGAGAGGTGGGATGTGCTGGGCTGGGGAGCTCAGCAGCACCTGGATGGGCTTCTACCTCCTCTGTGACAAACCACCTTCTCCTTTCCTCTGCAAACACCTGGTTTGTGGCCTCATGGAGCAGCTGGTGTGTGTAATTTGGCTCCCAAATTGGGTGCTCTGGCTTTCACGTGTGCTTTATTGCAGTGGTTAAAGCAAGCCACAGCCTTCTCCCTTCCTTCCCACCCTTAAGGCAGTTTCCTTTTATTAAGAGCCTTTTCATCTCTAATCTTAATAGGAAATGATGATTTTCTCACTTATGTCTTGATTTTTGCCAGCTGTGAGAGGCTTTTATTGTAGTTTTTGGACCTAATTTGGTTTACTGGAAATAATATATTATTGCATTTCTATCTCCTCCCAATGAACTGAAGTGGTGGTGGGACTGCGGCACGTGTAGGCAGCACTTTGCTTCCTCGGGCTTCACATGATTTCTTCCCTCATCTGATTAAAATCCAAAACTCTCATCTGATTAAAGTCAATCCAACAGCCACTGATGGGACTTGATACCTTTGTAAGCTTTCTTTTTCTTCCTGACTATCCATTCCTGTTTTTTTGGGAACCTCTTGGTCCTGTGACCCAGGGCTATGTGAGGATGGGGCATGGGGCAAGTGTGGCTTGCGTGGCTCTGTGCCAGGGCTGCTTCAAGCCATCCTCCAACTTAATAGTGGCTTAAAAGCAATTTCTCCCTCTCCTTCTGCTGGGGTTTGGTGGAAAGGGACAGAGAGAGGGGCCAGGACAGGCAGAGGTTAAACCCCCTGGGTCACGTTTGCTGCCCAGCCTGGTCTGCACAGAAATGATAAAACTGAGAAGCAGCTGGAGTTTTACAGTTGTGTTTTTTTCAATAATGGCTTTACAAAAAAGTGTGAAGCATCTGTTTAGAAGTGGAGGGCAGTATCTCATTCTTGAGTGTGGAGGAGAAATCCTGGATGAACATACCTTTCCCCAGCTCTGAGCTGCGGAGCCACAGCACCATGCTGGAGGCTTCCCAGCAGCTGGAAAGACAGGATTCCTGCGGTCCTGCACCGCTGAGTCAGGAGAGGTGACACGCAAACACAGCTGAGTTCCTGGGAAAGGAGGCTGGCTTGTGCTCTGAACCTGCCTTGACACCACTATGTGTGTGTTCCCATGGGAGCATCCTTCTCTGGAGCAGAGGCTGCTCCGTGCAGGCTCTCGGCATGTGGTTTATTGGTTTTCCCTGGCTGTGAGAGCTCTGGGCACGGGCAAACTGGAGGAGATGGGTGCCAGTGGAAACGACCCATCCCTTCGCGTGGGTTTGCCGGACCTGGAGTGTTTGTGGAGGTGGGGTTGTGCTGTGGCCTGGCAGCCAAGCCAGCTCTTGAGTCACTCTGTCCTGTGCATGTGTCTAAAGCAAATAATCTGATGGCTTTGTGCCCCTTGGAGCCTGTCTGACCTTGCAGGAGCTGTTGTCCGGCTCTGGCAGCGCAACTTTCCGATGGATTTTTCATACCCTGGTGATGTGGGTTTGCTGCACGGGCTTCCCGCTGCCTTTTCTACTCCATCTCCTGAGCAGGGGAAATAGGATGTTTGTAATTACTCTGCAAACAGCTTTTAGGGAGAAAGCTGTGGTTCTGTGTTACAGGGGCTGCTGTCAGATTGTTGCTCCCATGGGTTTTCCTTGCAGAGCATCCCTGGGGGATCCCTCTGCACCTTGTCTGTGCTGATCCTGTGTCGTGACGATCCTCTTGGGAGGTCTCCAGATGGAAGTGGCTGACATTGCCTCAGTGTGAAGGGCTCCTCTCTCTGCCTCTAAGCTTGAAATGAAGTAAAATACCCCTGTCTGGCTTGTTCAGGCTCCATCCTATCTCTGGCTTTTGCTGTTATTTGGGTAACTGATGTAAAGTCACCGCAGGAGCTGGTTACTACAAAGCACTGATGCTCCTCTGCTACCCTGGGATGGACCTGGGGGTCTGAGCCGCCAGGGCTGCAGCAGTGCTGTTGGTTTTGCTGTTTTTCTGCTAAAATAAATAGTGAAAATTTAGGATGCATTTACCATGGCAAGAGTGTCTTGGCAGGAAGGGTCCCTTGTCTGTGTCTGAGTCCCTGTGTCTGTCCTGGTCCAAGTCACTGTCCCTTCACCTGCCACCCTCTTGCCAAGCTGTCAGCTTTCCAAAGGAACTCCTGCTTTTCTAAGAAATCCACTTTTCCGTGGCAGAGAGTCTCTGGGCAGCTGTAATGATTAACAATCCTTGAACATACCTTGCCTGGGGCTGCGATTCCCCTTGCGTGGCTCCCCCAGGACCCCGGCTTGTCACCCCCCCAGTTTGCAATAGCATGTGAGGATGCAAACCCCATTTTGGGGATCCTGACTCATGCAAACCTGACTCTGATGGGAAAAGCGTTACTCATGTGAGCCTGTTTGCAGGATCAGGCCTCTAATTATGGGGTTTGCCCAGCTCGTAGCGTGGGAACCGGAGCCATTAGCCCCTAAACCTCCAGATCATTCCCAATATGTTAATGTTTCTAATTAGTTAAGCCTGATGCCTTTTTTTCTCTCTGTAATGACAGTGGCGCTGGTACTTACTCGTGTTCGCTCTGCGTGCCGGTACTTCATTATATAATGATACAGTATGTGTTGTAATACCTATTCCCAACTGACAGTGGGGTTTTTTTTTGCATGTGCCTCATCCAGAACTGATTAGGCAATGGAGAAGATGGGTTGGTGCCAATAAGTGTTTGGGTTGCATCCTTTCTAATTAGCTGGGAAGTTGAGCGCAGGGGAGGATTAGGGCCAGGTGAGCACCCAGAGCTGGTGGGTCAGGGGAAGGTTGGTGTGGGATGAAAACCTGTTGCCTGTTTTCATGCTTCTTTAGGGGATGAGCTGCCCCTTTCCTGGGCTCTGTTTTCATCCACAGTCCCTTCTTCCATTCCTTCCAGGGAAACCATCTCCGTGGCAACCTCAAACCTCCAGGCTCTGCCTCAGAGCTGCTCTTCCATCTTCAGGACCCAGTGGGTAAGTGCCTTGGCAGGTCCAGCTGTGGTGGCCTTGGCCACCGGGTCCATCAGGCTGCTGCAGACACCTTGGTGCAGCGCTGGGAGGCAAGGGCTGGCATTGGGCTTGGCAGGGGTGTGTATAGAAACCTTGTACCTTGGCTCATCTCAACCTCAGAGCTTGGCTTGTGCTTTGAACAGACTTAAAAACAGGTGGCCATGGCTGTCCTCATGCTGGAGAAGCTCTGGAGGGGGTGGCTGGGTTCAAGGTGAACCTGGTGCTGTTCCCTTGCAGGGGATCTACCTGGGGCAGGGGTGCATTGGTCAGTGTGCTGCGGCTGGTCGTGCATCCGTTGGTAACAGTCTTGGGTAGACCATGACCAAGCCTGAGACCATTATTTTATCTTTTCCATCACATGAGAGTTGTAGGGAGAGCAGGAAGGCCAGCACCTGGAGACAGGGACTCTGTCCCCTCTGGGTGCTGCCTGGGCTTGGAGCACGATGTCACCATGGAGGTGATCATGGCTGCGCTGGGCTGCCCAGCCTGTGATGTCATATGTGGTGCTGTGCAGGAGGGTGGTGATGCACCTTCCTTGTGGGTGGGTAGAAATGGGTCCTCTAAGGTGCAGGGTCTTGCTGGGGGGTTTGGTGTTTCCTGGCATAGGGCAGCAGCAGGAAACACAGTTTGTTTCTGGCATAATTGGGATTAATGATGTGGAAGTGGGGATGGGGTGAGGGGGAAATAATGTGTAAGGATGGATGTGCTCTGCCTGGAGCTGGTTTCTTGGGGGGGCTGGACTGGATCATAGTGATGGGGATGCTGTAGGTGCTGGGTCATAGCTCTGCCCGTGGAACTGATCCTCTTTGTCCCTTGGTCCCGCAGGGCGGGATGAAGCTGCTGGGTGCTGTGTTGCTGGTTGCTGGCCTGCTCAGCACCGCTGCCCAGGGGGAGCAGCCCCCCTGGCCGGATGAGCCTCTGCAGACCTGCTTCTTCCAGACACTCAGCAACGTGGACAGCGAGTTCTGCCAGTGAGTGACACCCTGTCCTCTCCTTTCCAACCTGCATCAGCCCTGGGCATCCAGTCGTGTGCTGCCCTTGCATGTCCCAGGCACCTCCTGGGACAGTTAACTCCAGTGTCCCCTTTGCCAGGGCTATAAATACTGGCTGCTTTCTTTCTTCTGCCAGGAATCTGGGCCAGAGCAGTGCCTGCTGCACTGTGTGGCTCTTGTTTTAGGCAAGGTGAGGTCTGAGTGTCTCTGGTCACCTCGACTTGTTCCTTGGTCCGTTTTGCAGAGGCTTTTAAAGCTGCTTACAGCATCAGGGATGATGAATGCTTTCTGCAGAAAGTTTCAGAGGAAGGAGGCTGCTTTTGGGGAAGGAAAGTCCTAGAACAGGTCATCCCGCAGACATCAAAGCTGATGCTCAATGTGTGGGCATAAGAAGAGGAGGAAGCCTGGGGAGCTTTTCCTGGAGCTGTGAACAGGCAGTTGGCTGCTGTGCCAGCTGGGCACCCCTTTATCAGGTGTTTTGATACTGAAGGTCCTTGGCTTAAACTCTTGTTTCTGGAGATGGAGGCAGGGCTGGGTAAGCAGCAGCACACACCTGCCCCTTGCCTTCGAGGGGTTCTTGATATCCCACATTATTGGGAGCTTCTGCATCAAAAATGTCCTTTCTGCTACTCTTCAGTTACCAAAACACTCTCTAAATATGAGCAACTGAATTCAGCCTCTAGATTAAGGCAAGCGGAGACTTCACTTGCCACTGACATCGTCCCACAAGCCATGAGCAGGAGCACCCTGCTTTGAGCTCTCAGCCCCCTTTCTGCCAGCCCTGTGCTGCTCTGGGTGTTTGCTCAGCACCCTCTGGGGCTGCAGGATTTAGGAGGTCACATCAGCGGCAGCTAATCTTCAGGGTGGCCTTGAGACTTGTTATCCAGACGCTGTGGTGACCTGACAGCTTGCTCCAGTGGCCCCTTTCTCTGTTAGATAACGCAGAAGGGGAAAGTGCTTCATGCACGAGTTGGAGCTGGAGATATCTGACCTGTTATTGTGCTATCAGGACCCAAAACATGGAGGAGGCTTGTCCCTGCTCATATCACGAGGGAGAGGGGGGGGGGTTCAGAGTTCAAACAGCTTGTGAGAGGCCAAGGGGGAGTGAGGGTGGCTTTGCTCTCCTGCTGCCCATCTTCAAGCCTTAGATTAACCTATTTGTGCCATGATTTTTAAGGACTATAGAAAATACTGGGAACAATCTAAGGTGTGCTGAGCCGTAATGAATGTCTAAGGTCTTGCTGCTGCTTGGGAGAGGGAGCAGACCCCACGGTTATGTTATGGCATGGGAGGGTGCTTATCCTGGTGCACAAGGTGCCCAGCACCTTTGGTGACAGCAGGTTGGATCCTGCATCTCCCACCCCACATTGCAACCACAGCTCAAGCCTAACTGGGAAGCAGCACTAATTCCTGTCCCCTGCATGGTGCGATCTCACCCTACGTGTTCTTCTCTTTCTCCTTTTCTCCCCAGAGGTGATTTAGAAATGATCTACCCGGAGCTGGGCGACGTGGGCTGCACATACATCCCCAAGTGCCACCAGTACCGGCGGCGGATCAGCAGGGAGTGGGGCAGCCCCCAGGTTCGGTACCCCCAGGCTGAGAAGGTGGGTCCCGAGTCGTGGCACTCGCTCCGCGCTTCTCCGTGTGAATTAGAGGTGTAGCTGGATGGCAGGGGGAGGAATTCCCTGCGGAAGGATTGCTTACATGTGGGTGTGTGTACTTTGAGCGTGGTTGTGGCACTCTGGCTAGGAGCTGGGTTGGGCAGGGATGCTCAGCACCGGAGCTTTGGGTGCTGGATATGGCCTGGGAGCCGTTCGCCCTGTGCCGTGTGTGCCTTTGCGCTGCTGTCCCGTTGCCAAAGTGCTCTCAACTGCTGGGGCTGAGCGTGTTAAACTTTTTTTTCCCCAAATCAGGGTGATTTTCTAAGCCTTCTGCATGTTAAACTTGTTTCCCAAAATCAGGGTGACTTTCTAAGCCTTCTCCTGTGCTTTCCCACTGCTTCAGGGTTTTGGTTTGAGGCTGAGCTGTGGATAAACTGAATTATTTTGGCTACATTGTAGCTGGGTTTTTTTGCTACAAAACCTTTCAGGCATAGATTTATTTTTCTTTTTGCAGTTGCTTGTAAACTTTTTAAAGCAAACATATGCTTTGGCGGGGTGTTTACATCCGGTGCTGGCGTGTGCGACCCGTGTCTGTCTGCAGAAACGGCGTTAATTAACCTCATCCGCCGCGGGGCTGTAGGGTTTGTTGGTGTGTGA